TTAAACACGAAAATATATATCCAGAATCGGCATTTTAATTAGATTTAAATTGATCTACACGTAGTCACTGTCCATTGATACTAAATAAAGTCGTGGCCATACCCTAAATTATGCACCTAATGTAAATCATGACAAAAGTCGCATTTAGAGTTTCTTTCAGGCAACTCCACGTGGGAAGAGGGTCCCTGCCACACACACCCCAAAGCACGTTAACAGTCCCAATAAACAAAATATAATTATGTACTTTGTTCAACAAAATTTAATTAAAACTTATAATTTAGTCCACTCCACACCCAAAAATTTTAAGTACCCCTTTTCCCCTCGCGGGCATGAAAAGTCTGAAAGGAACACTGGCCGCATCTGTAGATTAAACAAACTAAAGATAGAACTTACGTCTATAATAAAGATCCGTTTTCTACTTTTGGCCGACACTGGTAAAATAATAGATTTGCTATTTACATTTTAATCAGATTTAAATTGATGTACACGTAGTTACTGCACATTGATACTAAATACAGTCGTAGCCATAAACCCTAATCCAAGTGTCTCCAAACTACGGTCCGCGAGGTCATCTCATCCGGCCCTCGGAGAAAGTTTTGTCCACGGAAAAAGAAATATTTGTTGGAGGTGGTTGAGGAAAAAAAAATCTTAAACAAATTGAAAATTTAGCATTGGGGAGGAAAAAGTCTGGTCTAAATAAATAAAGACCGGTTTCCTACTTATGGCCGACAAACCTCACTCACGCTGACATTGTTTCTTTCATACTTTTTTCCGGGGTGTGGCACTTTAAAACAATTCTCCGGGGCGGGGAAGGCCGACACTGGTAAAAGAATATATTTTCTATACAAATAATATTTCGTACAAACCCCCCCAGAAAATATAGTCCCCACCCACACCCGAATATTTCATGTACCCCTCCTCCCTCATGGGGTGGAAAAAGTCTGATCGCATTTGTAAATTTTACAGACTATAGAGCCTACTTCTATAATATAGACCTGTTTTCTAATTACGGCCGACAAACCTCACTCACGCTGACAGTGTTTCTTTCATAATTTTTTCCGGGGTGTGGCACTTGAATACAATGCTCCGGGGCGGGGAAGGCCGACACTGGTAAAAGTATATATTTTCTATACAAATTATAATTCGGTTGGGGTGGGGGGGGGGGATGGGTCAAGACTTTCAACCATGGAGGCGGAGGGGCTTCGCCCCTACCCGAAGAGATTTTTGTTTTAACATTGTATTTTTTCAAGCTTTTCGTTAACTTGCTCACTCTGTCTGTATGGGTCATAACGGGCGAGACCCTGGCCATGGTTATTCTCATTTGGATCCGCCTAAGTATGTCAAGCTTAACATTAAAAAGATACCAATGGTAGTACGACACGTATCATTTATCGACCGGTTAGACCTTTGTAATACTTGCTCATTTCGAAACGATCTCGCTCTTGAATTTTAATTAATTTCTGTAGTTCTGTAATGTGTGGATTAATTGTAGATTGTTAAATTTTAAGTCGCGGGGTGTATGTCCAGGGGATTTATGTCCAGGGGGTTTAGACCGGGAGCCCAAGTACCCGGCGCTTCCAGGAACGTTTAAAATGTATTAAATTTTACTTATACAAGGTATAATGTGTATAGTAATAGAAGGATTTGGGTTATTCACATGGGTGTAATTCAACTGTTGGGATAGCCGGAGTTTACACTTCTCTATTTTTACGATAACATACTGTAATCTAATTGTTTGTCTATGGACAACTGGTAGGATTGAGTAGTACGGGTTGGTCTAGTGTTTATTATAATAAATCAAAGAGCAGATTATTATGAACAGATCGGCGGAATTTCAATACTCTTCAAGGTGAAGAGAGCCAGATTCGATGATAAGGTCACTCTGTCTGTTCTAGGCTTTGTACCCATCAACAAACGGATCCTTGCAAAGCCGTTTACCTGACCCTAATGCAGGGTAAACCACAAACCATTGGGGAAAAACGCATAATACCAGCTGTGTAGATGATGGGAAATATTATGCTGAAAAAGCAGCTGAAATTAAATTACTTCAAAATTCCTCCTCAAGTGACATCAGCGACAAAATAGAGGACAAGAGCTAAGACGTCCAGGCTCAACTAGTCGCAGATCCAATTTAATTATAATTCTATTTATAAACAATTCTATTTACAATTCGACTGAAACACTTTATAACGAGCAAATTATTTTTACACAACCTCTAGCAATGTTAAACATAGACCTAAACAACTCGACCTGTGCTATCATAGAACTGCATACCTCGCTCAGGTGTTTAGGAATAAACATTGATAAGTGCGTTATCCCTGTAAGACCATATCGATACTAAATTTAGATGTTGCCGTAGCTCTGGTGATGAGATAAAGATGCAAAATAAAGCTCGATACACAGATCACACACACAGACATACACACACACACATAAGCCTACACACACATGCACACACAATAAAACAGGCTTCGTTTTAATATAATATTCAAAGTTTTGGTAGCTCTTAAAATTTCTACACACTTTAGTTAACAAAAATAATATAATTATTTCAGCAATGTATTTTTTACAGGGCTTTTTTTAAACGGTTTTTCAATTCGATTGCATTCTTTTTTCCCACGTACATGTTCATATTATCAAGTTGCAAATATTGTAGAAAACGAATGTTATTTTATTAGGTATAAACGTTGTTTTGGATATAGTGTATTGTATGGCGCCAATTTTAATGAGTTTTATCACAAAATGAGGTATTTAAAGAAGCGTACGTGACATCCAATAAGGAACAGCACAATACCACAGAAAATCGAAGCAATCCTGACAACTTACCTGACAAAGCAGGTAGACAATTTTTCTATGCATATTCCTTGCCATACAGCTCACACCTAGAGGTTTTCTTTGTATCTACATCGGTGTTACACTCACTGACTAGCACAAAGAGCCGGTCCTATTTTGTTTTATGTGGTCGTCTAATCGTGTCTGACGTATTTTTTCTCTTTCTGAAATAGCTGTCTCTATTGTCTGCATGTTAATGTATATTGTTTTGAATTCCCCTAACAGGCCCGTTACATCATCTTAAGCTGGCCTGGACTTTAATCTCAATTCAAGGGCGGCAGAGAAAACGTGTTAAAGTTTTGTTTAAAATTTCAGTTGTTAACTTTAAAATAAAAAGTTTAGTATCAAAGAAACTAAACGGTATGGGCACTTGATACCGTGTACAATAGCTTGTCTCCTTGTAGGCTACCCAGCTTGGCACTATTGTATTAATAGCCGCTTTAAGATAGATTCTTTCGGTAAGGTTTAAACGACACAAGTTGACGACTTCATTGGTGCTGATTCGGTAGCATCTCTTTTGGTATTGTTTTTATTGATGTTTGCTATAACGTTGACAAAACAATTATGGATCTGAAATTAAATATGAAGAAAGACAACCATGAAATTCTATAGAGTGTGAAATAATTTCATTGTTATTTCCCTTTGACCATGGCACTTTGTTCGTGCTGAGCTTACAGTACAACGCGAACTAAAGGCACCAATACTAAATGACCAAAGATAAAACAAAAAATTAAATACATTAAGAAGTCATATTATGGAACACAATTTATGCAATATATGAATGCCCCTATTATACGATGGAGGTTAATATATTCCTGTGTTAAGCATAGAGAGATTTACGACATAAACTATTGACACTACAGGAAAAAAAAGAAAGATAATCATGAAAATCTTTTCTCTTAAAATATTTTCATTGTTGCTTCCCTTTGACTGTACTCGTTTTTACTTTCTCGTATACAGAGTATAGAGGAAGTATTATGATCGTTCACATAAAATCAAATGACACTTTTCATCGATTTACACCTCAGTACTTCATCATATACAGAGTATAGAGGACTTAATTTTATCGTGCAAAAAAGAATATCTCTGCGAAATCGAATCGGAAAAACTGGGCTTTGCAATTATGTCCGCATGTCTATGTGTGCGTATGTGTGTCTGAACACGATAACTTGAATACTGTTATAGCTAGGTGGATGAAATTTCATGTACAAGTATTATATCAAATTTGTAGTTCTGTATCAACTTTTCAGCGATTTCCGGTAACAGATAGTGGAACATTCTTTTTTGGTTTTTCAAAAGCATATAACTTGATTACTGTTTTAAATAGATAAACGACATTTCACATGTAAGTGAACAATATAATTCTCTGCTTTCTGTCAAAATTTAAGCAATTTCCGTTGTATCAAAATAAGTCTAAAATATATTCTATAAATAAAAAATATCCGTTCAATCTTTAAATATTTTGTGAGCTCATTATGAACCGTTGGTTTTGTTCACGTTAATTATTGTTTGTAATGTTACCAATATTTACCAAGAGTTGCCATACAATCTAAGGAAGTTACGTTATCTTTAAAATGTGAAGGTCAATCTAGCAGATGAAATAGAGTCAAATAATTCTTTGAAAATGGCATAATTAAATTATGCCGTCACAGCCGCGTTTAAACTACCCGATTAACTCAGGAACCTATTAGAGCTGGATGGACTCAGCAACGAGAGACCTACATTTCAACATGCGAGTGTTCTATCACCAGTTGGTAAAAGTATTTAGAAGAAATAAGAATAAAAAAAAATGTTTACACAAGTGTCAGTTTATCAGAGCGACGAACTCCGATCTCACTTAACATTTCTATTGGAGTAGGACAACACAAGATGTAGATCTTAACGGTTGTTTCTGGTAACAGTTAAGTTTATTTGAACTGCACTTCATTGAAGTAGATCATAACTAGACATTATTTATCCATATATAGGCTACTTGTCGGCCTTGTCGTTACAATGAATTGGGAATGTTTTAAAACCAATGACAGCATGACGGTAATACCAACATCAGTATCAAAAAGTTGTTTGATAACAATTTGCTAATTCTAATTAGTCTATAAAAATGAAATTAACAACATAACAGATTTTTTCTTGGGCATTTATTTTCTAGTATGAAATAATTTTATAAACAAATAAGAAGAGCAAGAAATGTAATATAATGTAAAGATACAATTCATGGTAAGATTAGAACAACAATGTTGCCGACATTTGTTAAACACAAAATATTTACAACAATAAACATGTTAAGTGCGTAAAATACGAATCAATCAAAACAATTGTTTTAACCATTTACATGTAATAAAATGTTTACAACATATGCAAGTCTTAACACAAACAGTTTAATGACGGGAAAAGTTCCGCCATTTTGTTTGTTTACAATGTGTAGACAAGGGGAGAGAACTAACAGTTAAATCAATCCCAATACTCCCCACTATAATTTCCTTCAGAGTTTGATCCACTGTGGGGATGTTGATACAACCACCCGACAGTTCCCAGCCTGTAGACAGACGCTCCACTGGAGCCAGGACATGTACATGTTGTGTACCAGTACCTGGTCCAGGGGATACCATCATACCTCTCACGTTTGTGTGTCCATTGTCCTACAGAGACCTGTTTAGGACAGCCATGAGGATGTGACACTATAACGGTCAACTTGACCACATCAACAAATATGTATTCGTTACTTACTTCCCTACATAGACCATCAAAGCGCCGACACATCTTGTCCAGTTCATCAAGCAACTCTAAGTCACATGTAACATAAATCAAATCACACCTGTCTTCCTCAATGTCTGCCCCACCCGTCACCTCCCAGCCATCAAGACTGACCACTGGACTTTTATTGTCATCAAAACCTAAAACACATGTGGTCTGTCTCGCCTCACTGTCATCAAACACCACGTGTTTAGCTGTCACCACATGAACCATCCCCCACACTTTGCTGGGTGTGGCAGAGACTTGACACTTGGCACAACGACAAGTTTTGTCACTCTCTGTGGACTTGTACACACTACACACCCTCCCCGTCCCTAACCTCAACACGTGACTTCCTCTGTCATTATAACATGGATATGGAACTTGAGTGCCTGGGTAAAACTCTGGTCTCTCTAGACTGGTGAATTTAGTCTTTACCTGGACAGTTAGGGCTGCCAATGTTTTGATTGTCTCAGACACGAGGTCGTCGCCATGGTAACGTGAGGGGAGACAATTTGCGTTAAAATCTTTAAGAGGCATAAAACCTTTGTGACCTGGATTCTTTTTACAGCCAGCAACATGTTTGTGTAGATCAGCTTCTCCTCCATAGCACATCTCAGCTTCATGATTTCCTGCAGGAATATGGGAAACAAATTATTTAAACAGCCTAAAAAATTTAAACACTGATATAAAATGCACCTATTATTATTTTGGTTAGATATACTATGTTTACACTTACACTTGATTTAGCAGTCTGATCTAGATATAAATTAAACTTTTACTATCTCCTTCGTCTAATGAACTATTTTCTTCTTCTTCTTCGTTCTTAATTATTAGTGTTGAAGGAGATCGAGATTTATCTGCCAGTGGGTTTGAACTCGAGACTTTGTTCGAATTTATCAACCATGAGCTTTTTGCCGACTCGACCACGCCTCCAACACAATTAAGCGTTACGTGTCAACTGTTTATGCGTTATTGAGGCCATTGACTCCGATTTCAGCCTGCTTTTCTTTTTGGATTTGCTTCCATAGCCTTTGTCCAACCAAGAACAAACTACAAGGCAGCAGTTGTTTAATTTTGGAGTTGTCTCTCCTAGAAGAGTGGCTGTCCTCAGCTAACGAGCCTCATCTGCCCGAGGGTTCGAACTCGAGACTTTTCGGATTAGCAACCATGAGCGTTCCCAACTCGACCACGCCGTCGCCTATGAACTATAAAATTACTAATAGTAAAGTCATCTAAATGTTATCACTAGCACAGATTTAAAATTGTTTAGACTAGAGTTGTCTTATGTTTGTCATATCTTACCTGGAATAAAGACACCTGTTTGGTCACTTGTGGAAACTTTACTTGGGATCTCACAGTATGGCACATCTAAAATAAATAATAAGAAAATATCACTTACACTACTTATTAATTACAGTGACAGGAAATGTGACATTACTGAGATAAACTCTTATAGCTTGATTAATACCCTCTCAAAGTTCAGTGTCAGATATATAATAAAATTTATGTTTGTAGAATTCATTGGGTATTTAGCATTTACTTTTACACTTAGATAACACATTTAGGTTATTAAGGAATGGATTTTTAGATCATTGAATTTTTAAAAATTCCATAATAGTTTTTAATTTAGCAAAATAAAGTTACTTAAAGATTTGGTTAAAAGAATGATTTATCATTTATCTGGCTCTACCTTCAGGTGTACTTGATGCCTCCAATTTTCTTTTTCTCACTTTAATTGGGGTTTTCATGGTCTGTTTGACTGTAGATATGATTATAGATCATTAATATAAAATAGTAACTAGGTTTTATAAATGCACTAATAAAAAATTTAAACAAATAAGAATTTGTAGAATTAGTTTTACATCTCTAGTATTAGATACCCCTAGTAACTTAAAATAGATTTCTTCTAAATAGTGAAAAACACATAAAATTTAAACCAAAAAGGAAAAAAAAACAGATAATTTTTGGCTATAAACATAGCACCTTTGGTATTCAGCTTACTATTTATTTGATATTAGCTTCTGATAAACATGTTAATAATTTTAATTAAATGTGATTTTCAACTATTTATTTTTCTGAAGAATAAGTTATATTTGAAAATGAGACCTTAAAATTACAGCTTACATAATAAATTACCTGATTAACTTTAATAAAAATGTTGGGATATTCACTAGCTGTCACTCACAAGTGTCCACTAAACCTTGAAAACAAAAGAATCTGGTTATTTTGATGAATACAAGGTAGATGAATGTTTATTTTTCAAACAATTTTTTTCTCAATAGTCAGAAGTGTTAACATAGAAAAAATATTTCAATTGATTCTCAGCTAATCAATATTCAGTTTAATTGCACTGTTTTGTAAACCCTATAGTCTTAATATCCATATAAGCTTGTTGGCTGTTAATTTTCCTCTGCTATGTTTTATAAATATATAAAGTATTTTATTTAAACATTGGACATAGCAACTAAAACATCTACACTAAGTTTGCAGAAACTGTAACTTATTCCAACATGTTTATACACAATGTGAATGTTTAAAAGCTTCTGTGGATACATTGCCTAATCCAATTAGCTTAGAATATCCCCATGCCCAAAAGTTCAGATGAAGTTAAAACACATTTCAAAAAAAATATTTATCCGAAGAATCTTGTTCGGTAGTAATTACAGCAAATAAGTTACCTAATTAGCCTGGATCTTTAATGAGTTTAATAAAAATCAGTTATAACATTTAACTTTGAACTATTAGTAACGTAAAAATAGAATAGAGTATTTGCATGCAATAACAGTCGTCAAATAAAAATGGTTTGTATTTCATATTTATTCTCAGGCCTAAATAAAATGTATGAAGATTAACTTTTGAAAGAGAATCAATTTGTCCTTCAATATTCATATTTTTTGTAGATCTACTTATGAATAGCTCTATAGCAAAGTTAATTGTTGAAACAAAAAATGTACACAAAAATTGAAAATACACCTCTATAAATCCCTAATGTTTATACTTATAAATGCATTAACATGCAATAATAAATTAGGCTAAAATACTACACTGTAAAAAATGACCTATTAGTACCAAACATTTGGTTAGGTGGTTTAAGACTTCATACTGAATACTATAAAACTTTAAAAATGATACACCTACTATTATTTGTTATAGACTAATTTACTTAAATTTACTTTGTTCCAGGTTTAGAATCTATTTTCTTTGCTTTATTTTTATTGTATACTTATTGGTTGAATTCTGCATCTTAATTTTAATCTGCACTCTTTTATATGACCCTACATTCTTAGACAGAAGTTCTAGATTGTGTAATAGATTGAGATAATTGTGAGGTCAAGGGAACTCACTCTTCTTGTATTAGTTATATTTATAATGTTGTTATTATTATGAGTGATGTCCCTTGTATATCGTACTTCCTCTTCCTCTTTCCATCATGGCTGTAAATAAAGACTGTTAACAACCAATGTGGCTCCTCGTCAGTGATTACAATCTAACACATTGGCGACGAAGGATAAATAATCCACTAGAAAGAGCACCTAATTATTCAAAAAGAGGTTTGCTAGAGCTTATTAGCTAAGTATTTCTAGAATAATGGCGCTGTATGGCCAAATAAAAGAATTTGATTCGAATGATGAAATCATTCAGGATTACCTAGATAGGTTAAGCTTTTACCTTGAAGCAAACGACGTGACGATGGAAGCCAAAAAGAGAGCTGTTTTGTTAACAGTCATAGGGCCTCAACAATTTAGGCTACTAAAGGACTTATGCGCACCAGCTAGTCTAACTACCAAGAGCTTTAACGAGCTGAGCAAATTGCTAACAGACCACCATGCGCCTACCCCATCAAAGTTTCTATGTAGAGCTAGATTTGACAGTAGGACTCGTCAACCAAACGAGTCAATATCAGAATATGTTGCTGCTTTACGTCATCTAAGTAAATATTGTGAATTCGGCGATACGCTGTCTGACAGACTATGTGAAAAGTTTGTGACAGGTGTAAACAGCCCTGATATTCAAAGAAAGTTGCTGCTCGAGTCAGATCTAACATTAGAAAAAGCAATACAACTAGCAACTTCATACCAGCAGTCATCCGATGCGGCGAGATCTCTAACGTCTTCAGAGATCCATGCAGTAAACAGCAGGTTAGTCAATAAACACCAACCCCATCAGAGCATTTCAACTTATGCTAAACAGCCTGCACGTTCAAATCCTAGATCTAAATCTAGTAATCATTATCAAAAATGTCATCGATGCAAAGGTCCCCATGCATCTCATCGGTGCAAGTTCAAGTCTGCAACTTGTTATAAGTGCAGTAAGCAAGGTCACATTGCCAAGGCCTGCTTTGCAAAGTCTTCGTCTGTTGCTAAATCTAGCCAGTCAAGACAGTACCGCAACCAAAGGCAGCACTATGTTAACTCTCACCAAGACGACCTAACCCAACCAATGAACCACTCTACCAGTGAAAATTCTCAAACTGATTCGCAGCCGGATTTCAACCTGTTCTCTGTGAAATCAATAAGTTATGCTCCCATCAATGTACAAGTTAATATGAACGGTAAGAGCATAAGCTTCCAACTTGACACTGGAGCATCTCTAACAGTCATAACAAAGAAAGATTTTGACGCTGTCACAGGAGGATCAGTGCCTCTACAGCCATGTCACAAGTGTCTAACAACATACACTGGTGACAATGTTCCGGTAATATGAGAGTGTATGGTTCATGTAAGTTATAATGGTCAAAGTGTTAAACTTCCTCTTCTTGTGGTTGAAGGAAATGGACCACCATTACTAGGTAGGAACTGGTTAATTGATCTTAAGTTAAATTGGGAGAGTATTTGTTCATTGAAGAATGTAAGAGAATCTAGTCTTACTTCAATAGATAAAGTAATATCTGAAAATAAAAGTGTTTTTGGCAATTCAGGTTTACTAAATGATAGAACAGTGAAGATAAGCATTAAAGACACAAATCCAAGATACTGCAAAGCTAGAGTTTCACCTTATGCAATGAGGAATAAAATTGAAAATGAGCTAAGTAGATTGGAATCTAATGGCATCATAAAGAAGGTAGACTATTCCGATTGGGCAACGCCCATTGTGCCAGTGTTAAAGAAGGATGGTTCTATAAGAATTTGTGGAGATTATAAAACTACACTGAATAAGCAAATAGAGCTAAATAGGTACCCTGTACCTAACATTGAGGAAATTTCTTTGAATTTGGCAGGAGGAGACAAATTCACTGAATTAGACTTTAGTCATGCTTACACTCAACTAGAACTGCATCCAGATTCAAAAGTCTATACGACAATAAACACACATAAAGGACTCTACCAATATGAAAGACTATGTTTTGGCATATCATCTAGCCCTGGAATTTTCCAAGCTGTCATGGACAGTATTTTTAAGGATATTCCAAATGTTTGTGTTTACTTTGACAATGTGTACATAACTGGTAAGAATGACACTGAACATCTTAAAACACTTGATAAAGTATTGAAAATTGTTGGTGAAAAAGGTTTAAAGATAAACAAAGATAAATGTCAATTCATGCTGACAGAAATTAGTTTTCTTGGTTATATATTAAGCAAGCAAGGCATCAGACCTCAACCTGAGAAAACAAAAGCCATTAAAGAAGCACCCAAACCTGAAAATACCCAACAACTAAGAGCTTTTTTGGGCTTGATAAATTACTATGCAAAGTTCATAGGAAATCTGTCTGGTAAACTATCACCACTGTACAAGCTGCTACAGAAAAATGCAACTTGGCACTGGGGTAAACAACAAGAAGCTGCTTTTAATACAGCAAAAGAGGCTTTGTCTGCTGACACCTTACTAACTCACTATGACCCAGGGAAAAGACTTGTATTGACATGTGATGCTTCACCAGATGGTGCAGGAGCAGTCTTGTCCCACATGGATGAGAAGGGTGACAGACCCATTGCTTTTGCCAGTAGATCTTTGAACCAGGCTGAGAAAAATTATTCTCAGTTAGATAGGGAAGGCTTAGGCATCATTTTTGGTGTTAAGAAATTTCATAAGTTTCTGTTTGGTAGGAAATTCACCATCTTTACAGATCATAAACCATTGCTAGGTTTATTTGGAGAAAACAAAACCCTACCTGAGCATGCCTCACCAAGAATTCAAAGATGGGCTATCACACTAACTGCATACAATTATGAATTGAAATACAAACCTGGATCTGAGAATAGTGCAGATAGTCTTAGTAGATTACCTTTAAAAAACCAAAGCCTTAGCTATGTACCAGAAGATGTATTTGTTCTCTTCACTATCATGGATAACTCCAATATAAATGTGAATGATATTAAAAGAGAAACACAAAAAGATGAGTGCTTAATAAAAATATATGAGTACTGTAAGAATGGTTGGCCTGAAGAGTCTGTGAATGATGACTTAAGACCATATAAAATAAGAAATAAAACCCTTTGTGAAGATAATATAAAAGATGGAGAAGATGCAGTCCATTATCAGTCAGAGTTGCCTAAACAAAGTATCTGTAACTTAATAAATGATTATGGTGATATGGCAATTTCAAATGTTTTAAAGAGAATACATTAGTAAGAAGGAATGTGATCATCAAACAACTTTGCTAACATCATTAGCACTTACAGAAACTAAAAGGGTAACATCAAAAGAAGAAAAAGATTTTTGCCATTTAATACACCCACTTCAAATACTGGATCACAGTTGCAAAGTGATATGGTCCAGGATAGTACTTTTAAACAGTATTTTTGGTTACCAACAAGCACTATCAGATTACATGAGAAAATTGATCAATCAAAGAAATCTATGTCAGTCAAGGATCTGAATAACAGCATAATACTTTCAGATGCCAATTCAAAAATAGTTCCATTAAATCATGACAAACATTCATTGAAAGAGAATTTGGTGTTAATGATAATGTGTATCTAAGAAATTATGGGAGAAAGGAAAAATGGATACCAGGTCAAATTGTTCAATGTACAGGACCTGTGTCTTATAAAGTTAAAAATAACTTGTGCAGATAATAAGTGTGAATCTGTCAATCCCACCAAATCTGAACAGTTCACACCAACTCAGTTTGTTCCACAACCAAGTTCTGTTGATATGAGTGAACTAAGTTGTCTGGAGTCAGAAAATGTAAATTCTGGAGTTAATGATTTAAATCCTAGACCTCCTGAGATAGAGAATCCAAATGGTCAGAATATTGAGTCACCAAATCAAAAGCCACTGAGAAGGTCAAACAGGACAATCAAAGTCCCAAATAAGTTAGACCTATGATTTTAAAGGTCAAAAGGACTTTGACATCATTGTTTTGTATCTTGATTATGTTGTAGCATATTGTGCATTGTTTGTAAGGATGTAATCTACCATAGTGTTCATGTTACAATATAATTGGTGATTTTAGGATACTATCAATTGTTCTATTGAGAGATGTGTTATTGTGTTCTAAGGGTAAAGGGATGTAATAGATTGAGATAATTGTGAGGTCAAGGGAACTCAGTCTTCTTGTATTAGTTATATTTATAATGTTGTTATTATTATGAGTGATGTCCCTTGTATATCGTACTTCCTCTTCCTCTTTCCATCATGGCTGTAAATAAAGACTGTTAACAACCAATGTGGCTCCTCGTCAGTGATTACAATCTAACACAAATTGGATTCAGTTCTGGAAGTTGTATTGATCTAGAGTTAGATCTAGATTCTAGATCCAATCGAGACTAGATTTCTAGATCCAGTTTAATACTAGAATTTAGATGTAGATCTAGAATATCTATATCATTAGATGATTAGAATAGACATAGAATAGATTTTCAATATATCTAGTGATCTATTATCTTGTCCAGATCTAGATTATCATGATATATTATTATAGATCTACTACATAATTAATAGGCCTATAGATCTACAACTACCGATCTAGATTCTATCAACCGCCTAATAATAGATCTAGATCTACTAAGTAAAGTACTACTCTTAACTTGTCTTAAAGTCTTAAGTATCTAGATATATACTCTAAACCTATAATTCTAGATCTAGTCTAGAAATGTAGATCTAGACTAGCTAGATATCTAGATCTAGATCAAGAAACTAGATGAGCTAGATGTAGATCTAGATCTAGACTAGATCTAGATGTGGGCCCAGATCTAGAAAACTGAAAAGTAGAATCTAGAAATCTAGATTCTAGATCTGGATTCTAGACTAGCTAGTCCCTCAAGATCTAGATTTCTAGATCAATGCTAGATAATCTAGATCTAGATCTAGACTAGATTCTAGATCTCACATCTAGATTCTGGATTAGATCTAGAATATTCTAATCTAGATCTAGATTCTAGATCTAGTCTAGCTAGATTTAGATTCTAGATCTAGTCTAGATATCTAGATCTAGTCTAGATCTATTCTAGAATCTAGTTCTATTCTAGAATTTAGAATAGATCTAGATCTAGAATCTAGACTAGATCTAGAATCTAAATCTAGCTAGACAAGATCTAGATTAGAATATTCTAGATCTAGATCCAGAATATAGATGTGAGATCTAGATCTAGATCTAATCTAGAATCTAGATCTAGATTATCTAGCCTTCATCTAGAAATCTAGAGATCTTGAGGGACTAGCTAGTCTAGAATCCAGATCTAGATCTAGATCTAGATCTAGATCTAGATCTAGATTCTTCTTTAATTCTAGCTAGATATTTAAACTCATAAATGTACTGTTTGGGCCCAATAAATTAATACAATTATTTAAATGTTTACCAAACTGCTCAGTAGAATCTACTACTCAGATAAGACTGTACCATCTGCTATGAATTTTATTTTTAAGTCGGACTAACCCGAAAGTTGAAAGCAGCTCCATTAAAACAAATCGGGCGACCAAGGAAGTGAGAACGTCTGCTACAAATGATTGATCCCTTTTATAAATATTATAGTATCGATAAAAAGACACGAACACACTCCGGACACTATTTATCAAGTTATATATAACTACTCAAATTTTGATTGCAAATTAGTTTGATCTGCTAAATAAATGCTAGATATAAAAAGTATCTACATAACTTTAATTATTTTTAATTATTAAGTTTTTGCATAATCTAATACTAAGATTATTGATGCTAGTACTCGATTTCTTTTTGGGTGTCGATACCGCAAGTTTTAATTGCCACATTTTAAATCTGTTGACGCTTATGTGTTGGACCCAATTTTATGTTAACCAGTGTGTCTACTATTAATTATGGAATTAATGTTAAATGTAATTGCTTCATTTATGGGTCCATAAGCTGTTTAATGTGTACCTCGGAGCTATAATGTTTTGTTGCAACTATTTTATAAAGGCTAAATATTTTAATAATTATGTATGTATTATAGTTATGTATTATCCCTTCTGGCATATGGATCATCAATACTCAAAACTAGAAAACATCAATTATGGAAATGATGAACGTTATTTGTTTTTTCAGAAAGAACACTGTTTCTTTTAAGCACTTCTTCGGGGGGTGGGGATGGTTATGGGGTGGGGGTGTAAAGCTTCCCTATTAGGCAAGTCTCTCTTCACACCCCCCCCCCTTTAACTTCCTTGTAAAGAATGTAGGCCCATAGTATTTGCCAATTCAAACGGCGAAAATACTACATCCTTCTACACTATGATAGGAGCCTACATACGAGGTGGTCACGTGGTTAAAGTACAAATATTCACTAACAAGTAACGTCTCACACTGAAACTTTACCATTTAGATCAGAGATAGTGGTAAAACTGGCCGTACATTTCAACGCCGTCACTTACGCTATCAGTCAGTCTGTTGCAAATGCAGTCTTGACCAATTGTCGCATATAAGCTGCTGAATGAAGTACAATAACACTACGAGACACACACTTCCCCTTCAAGGACAGATAACGGGGGGGGGGGGGGGGCGGGTGGTGACGTGTTGTGCTATTCTACCTCAGCTTCGTCACTGTATGGGATGGTAACTGAATGATTTAGACTTTAGAGCAGCACAACCCTGTACTTGGGCTACGAATCAATAACTTGACTGTCAAATTTGTTTCTTTTTTCTTATGTCATTATAACTTGTATATCGTTGGTTCTAGTATGTTTGGGCAAATCGTATTTGCTACATTTACAATTGCATTTATACATCACATACAAGTACGATTAATTAAATAATAAATGTCCAACAATATTCTATAAACACTTGCCTTTTATTTAACGTCTCTATTTAATTATAAAACTAGAAGTAGATGAATAAAGCTAAATCAATCAAAGGACAAGAACATTTTACGGACAGTTTCTAAATTGTTGCAAAAACTATAGCGGTTATATGGGCTTATAGGTTAAATGTGTTAAATTTATATAAGAAACTATTTTTTTACACTCCTAACTAGTCTTAACATAACTAAATATAATCCAGATCAACCACTTAAATTAAGTTATTTCCTAATTTGGTTTCAGTTGCGTTTTTAATACAATAATCCCAATTAATAGGATTACAATATACAGCTATAAATCTAGGCCTATATTATTAATAATTTAAAGTAGTACATCAACAACAATCTTAAACTCTACCTTCAGATGCGAATTAAAATGTTTTCAAAATGGCCGTACAGTCAGGTACAACGAAATTCTATTTATAACCTATAAAATGTCCCGGTTTTCTGATTTCCCCGCTATTACTTGTTTATGGGAAATTAAGACACCGCATTGGCTAAATAACGTGTGGTCTATTTGTGTCATATATGTTCAAGTAAAGATAATACGACATAAAAGAGGGTTAAAATGTGTTGGACAAACATATTGTGTGTATTTAAGTACTTTTTGTAGCAAAGAACAGCGGGAACTTTCATTATTAACATTCTAAAAGTCAGCATATGTCAATTTTATACTCCTTGTCCTCAGCACACTTTGTTATAAACTTTTTGAATATTTTTTTAATAAAATCTTCGCCATACAATTTGATAAATTAATAACATTCAACATAGCATTGGAAAGCTTTCAGAAATTATTTCTAAATAAAGTGAAGGAACTCTGATAATGACTTAACTGTATAACAAAATAAGGCGACCTGTTTCTGGCGTAAATCGATATGTCTAGATTTATTTCAAACAGGAAATGTAAATGATCAGATTTATATCTAACTTAAATAGGCAAAATCTCACGTGTGTGTGAGACTGAAAGTGTGTCGCTCTTATCCAGCATTGTTCTATAACGTATTAACCGATTATTATAATATTTTAGGCATAAAAAATTACCAAAAGTTCCGAAATATGACGATAGAAACCACAGTCACAAAATTAACATCTCTAGCCTTCAATTGAAGACAATCCCGTGTTGTTACTGCCTTAATCATATCCGCATTAGACTTCACTATTTGAGCCCCAAATTATCAAAGATATGTTGAATGCTGTGTGTAGTTAATTCAACATTTTTTCGATTATATGAGGTGTCAAAAATCCTGATTTTGCTTTTCTTGAAATCTCGTTATTGTCAGCACTCGATCATATGCAGATTTTCGTTTGAGTCTTATAAAAGCATGATATACTTTCAGACCCTGTCATATTTGTAAGATTAGTATAGAAAACTCTCGGTATTGTAGCAAAGTCTCTGTGGCAATCAGCTCATTCATGTTTTTTTCCCAACATACTTTCTGACATAACTAGGGTAGCCAAATCCTTTTCTTCAAATAAGTGTTCATACACATACACATAATTCTTAATACACATAATTCGTAGATGGATATTATAATATTGATTAAATACAGATAAATAAATAAATAAATACACACACACACACACACACAATTATATATATATATATATATATATATATATATATATATATATATATATATATATAAATATATATATATATATATATATATATATTAATGTAGGCTATGTGTAGACTATAAATATGGGCTTTATTGACGAGCTACATAAGCATTATCCTTACCTCCTTTTTAATCCATCCAGCTATTTTTTAATCTGTCTTCTTACTGTGACGAAAATATTTTAAACAAGCAGATACGATTATTAGAAATATACAAAAAAGAGGAATTAAAATAAAATTATAAAATCTTCTTAGCCTTTGTCTTTTAGTGACCACGCTACATGTGTCAAAAATAAGTTAAAAATGCCACGTAAGAGTCACATGATACTGTATCATAACAGGAATTCCCGAAATGACGCAATGTTGCGGTGCTGTATACACTAGGCTTAAAGGTGTTCTTTCATTTCTTTAGCTACTGTGTATTAATTTATATATCTGTCGTTTAAAACAGTTTAGACGTCAGTGACTATTTTAATTGGGTATACGGAAAATAAAGTAAAACAATTACTTTAAAAACTTGATATTTTGTACATTTTTTTCTTGAGTTTATCATAGAATTGCATAATGAATCCAGGAAAATAACAGCAAAATCCTTATTGTATTAATTGTAAATGCCTATGCAACTTTTAACTACACAAAATATTTTCCATGAACCAGTAAAACTATCTGATGCGCTTAATTAAATACGTAATAATGTAATAGTACATCAACAACGAAATGATGCGTTTAAATGTGATACGATAAAATATCATTACACGGAGAATGTATCGTTAACTTTTTTTGAGTATTAAATATGTAAACCCATCTTCAAATTCTGTGACAGATAGTTAATAAGTGACGGGAAGAGGGATTTGATTTCTATCACTGTAAAAGCGGCAGAGAGTAGAGTTGAGTTAAGAAAATGTTTTATCATGTTCTTTAGCAGTTTAAAAATTAATATTCAATACTTTAGTCCTTGTTGTCTATTCTCACGTTCACAAACATTTTGTTAATCTTTTAATTAAAATGTATAAATGTAAGCCATGTAAGTGTATATTTGAGAAAGAAAAACTCGAAAGACGTGAAGTAGTATGCTGAAATGTGACAAATGCAGTAGTATGTAATATCTAGCGATACGTGGAGGGAAGAGGTGGGTTGGAGTTACTAAATAAACGTTATGAGGTTTTTTTTAATGAATGTCAAAAATTCCTGGCAATGGTCTAGAAATGTGATAGTGACACAGACCTATATACATGATATTGTAATGGTTTATACATCACGTGATTATGTAAATTGGTAATTCATTATATAAACACACGCACTATTAGCTTATTAAAAGTATTCTCAAATATATTGCAACAGGAAACTAGAGACCTTGGTAACACTACCAATTCTCAGAATTTCTGAAGAGCAGTTACTTTAGGACAGCCATGAGGATGTGATACAATAACGGTCAACTTGTCGACATCAGCAAATCTCCTGTATATTTTATTTACTTCACGACAAAGATCTTCAAAGTGTCGCCACTTTGTGACCAGTTCATCAATAAAATCTAGATCACATGTGACGTAATTCAACCAACACCTGTCTTTCTCAACGTCTGCTTCTTACACATTCCTGTCGGTTAGACTGGTCACGTGAATTTCATTATCGTCAAAGCCTAAAACACATGTGGTCGGTCTCGCTTCACTGTCGTCAAACACCACGTGTCTGGCTGTCAAAATACCTAGGACCCCATAGACTTTTGTTGAGTGTGGCAGAGTCTTTACACTTGGCACAATGACAAATTCCGTCTATTGCTGTGTACTTAAAAATCTGGACCACTCTTCCAGTCCCTAACCTCATCACGTAACTTCCTCTGTCATTATAACATGGATATGGAACTTGAGTGCCTGGGTAAAACTCTGGTCTCTCTAGACTGGTGAATTTAGTCTTTACCTGGACGGTTAGGGTTGCCATAGCTTTGATTGTCTCAAACATGAGGTCATTGTCATGGTAACGAGAGGGTAGACATTTAATATTGAAATCTTTCAGAGGTGACCTGGATTCTTTAAACAGCTATTAATATGTTCTTGTCTAGCAGCTTCTCCTCCATAGCACATCTCAGCTTCATGATTGTCTACAGGGATGATGTATGCATTATAATAGGAAAATGCAACTACATTTAATTAAATTTCTACAATAAATATCTTCACAAACATATATATATATATATATATATATATATATATATATATATATATATATATATATATATATATATATATATATATATTTATTTATTTATTTATTTATTTATTTATTTATTTATTTATTTATATAAATAAATAAATAAATAAATAAATAAATAAATAAATAAATATATATATATATATATATATATATATATATATATATATATATATATATATATATATATATATACGTGTTTTGTAATGGCTTTTGTCATATTTTATGTATCTTAGCTGGGTAAACTGCGCTTGTTTTGTCCATATTTGTCGATTTTTTGGAAATAAGTCGCATTACAAATCTAACATTA